TCCCAAATTTACCTCTCCTTCGCTCCCTCTGAATGGCATGATGCGTTTGCCAAAATACAAGAAGACCTAAATCGGATTTGTGCCTGGGCAAGTGAAAATGGATTAAGGTTAAACGTTGCTAAAACCCAAGCCATTGTCCTCGGTTCCAAACCCCTTCTCAGATCAAATACCAACATTCCTCTCCTGTACCTGAATGACCAACCCATCACCTTCAACACTTCAGTTAAAAACTTAGGTGTTATCATAGATCAAACCCTCTCCTGGAATCACCATATTTCCCTCATATCCCGACGTTCAATTTCCATCCTGAAACTCTTCCATCGCTTCCGCCATCTCCTACCCATATCCACACGTAGACTCCTAGTATCCGCCCTCATCTTCCCCCACATTGACTACGGCTGTGTAGTGTACGGTGGCCTCTCATCGGAACTTGGAGTCAGACTGAAAAGAATAATGAATGGCTTAGTACGATTTGTCAATGGGACCCCGAGACGTTCTCATGTTTCCCACTACTACGCCGAGTCAGGGTGGCTCTTCCCCTCCTTCAGAAGACAGTACTTCCTAGGTACATTCCTTTACCAAATAATCTATAATCATCGTCCGTCCTACGCATTCAATCTCCTTCAATTCAAGTCATCTATCCACTCCCTCTCCACAAGATCTCGTCCTTCCGACCTTTATACCCCTTTCCACAAATCGGCCTCATTTCAACACTCCTTTATTGTCCGATCCACCACATTTTGGAATTCCATCCCACTTAAAATCCGCCATGCACCATCCTTATCCACATTTAAAACCCTCCTTTTCCAATTCCTCCTTACAATTCAATCAGACGCTGGGTAGCCTATATTGTATTATTATACTATTGTTGCATTGTATGTATGTATATGTGTATGTATGTATATGTATATATATATTAATATATGTATATTGTATATATACTATTGTACTATTATTGTATTCTCACTATTATTGTATTATTGGGTGTATATATTGTGTATGTACGATTACACTATTATTGTATTTCGATTATACTATTATGTTCTACGAACATACTACTATTACTATAACATCTTTATTATTATTTGTCGCTCACTTATAATTTCATAGCGTATTGTGTATAGCAACTATTTTGCAGTATTAGGACATTATTTCTCATATTATGGCTTCCGATATCTGTACAGTTATGTAAACACTTCTTTTATCCCTTATTTTTTAGTTGTTTTTTTTGTTTGTTTGTTTGTTTTTGTTTATTGTAATATACATTTTGGCCAGATGTAATGTTTAATTTTATGTACAATATTGTTATTCTCAAGGGACGTAGTCCCAGAATAAAGTTGATTCTTCTAATAAGGCCTATTTGGACTTACGGGGTCGAGCTTTGGGGCTCTACTAAACCATCAAATTCCTTTCGTATTCAATTCCTACAATCCAAAATCCTTCGTAAAATCCTCAATGCTCCCTACTTTGTCACAACCACAACGACCTTAATGTACCATATGTTTCCAATTTAACTCAATCCAGATACCTATTCTTCCATGATAAACTTCTGAACCATCCAAACCCTCTTGTTTCCAAACCTTGCTTCTTCTTCTATTCCTGATAACCCTCCGAAGAGTCTGAAAAAAAGATGGCCTCGAGCTCTTCTAATTTAGAAATATAATTGGAGTGCTATCAATTGGTAGTTTCTCTTCATCTTGTACATGTCATGTTACTTGTTTCATATTTACTTGTTGTATTTAAGATTTAATACTGTTGTAAATTTCAATAATAAAAAAAAAAGAATTATTTTGATTCTATTTGTTGTTCCACATATTCCTTTATATTCTTTTTGATGCTAAATAATACCGTCTAACGTTGCCTATTTCGTTCCATTAATTTTTTGTAATTAAAAAAAAAAAGTTATTCTTAGCCGTGTTTTTGACATACTTTCTTTAGTATTTCCTTTTATTTAAATTTTAATAATATAAATAATTCATTCATTGCCTTTAAAACTAACAATAGGCTATTTTGCGAATTTAAGTAAAGCAAAGAATATTATACTTGGGACAAAAAAAAAAAACACTATCTAAACATAAGATAAAATAAAAAGAACTCATTCCACTATTTATAAAATTACTATAAGACATTCTTCGATATTTTATGCTTATTATTTTTTGTAACACAAACCATCAATGGAGTAATTTACTATTGTTTTTATATGTTCATAAAGGCTGCTGTTACTGGATGCAAAGAAATTGTTGTGAGCTTTAAATCATATTCTTGGATTTTCTTAATAGCTAAATTTTCATGCAAGTGCATTATAGGGGTACTTATCGATGAATATCAAATAAATCCCATAGACTTATTTTTTTGTTTTATTCGTACTAATCATTTAGATAAATTATTTTCACTCTTCATGTACTTATTTTTTTTTTATTTATATATAAAATGAAAATATTTTCTTGCCATATTGTTATGTTTATATTACCGTTATCTCCTGTGTATTACACTTAAAGCAGATTTGAAGGTCAACGCTTAGAGGCAAACGGTATCTAGACACTGCATTTGCCACGTGTCAAGTGGACGAGTTCATCTCAACTCACGTCATTGTTTGAAGGGTCACGTGTCCTAAGCCACTATAATTTAATGTATTTAATATATTTTTTTCACAGTAATTTAATTTTTAATTTAATTTTTTAATTTTTGTCCCAAAAATATCAATTTTATTTCACAAAATGAGAGTGTAAAACGTTTTTCATAAACAAGAGAGGACTCTCATATTAGAACTTAAATATTGGATATGCTTTTCTCTAATGTATTTGATGAACAGTAAGTTATATCAGCTAAAAATCTTCAATCTGATATACAATATAGCATTACAAGATAGTCTATTCAACATACACAAGCTATGATGCTTCATACATTACCATGAGTGTTAAAGTAACAATATGCATGGTAAGTGATAAGTTTTTACTACTCAAGAATATTCCTCCAGTTTAAATATTTTAATTTTTAAAACGTAATCATATCCCCATGGCAATCGTATCATTTAAGAGCCTTTCAATGCAAGAATTATGGTTTATCTCGAAAACAGTACATTTTAGGGCCCTAAAACATAAAGATCAATTTAGTTCTTTTGGAACTATATTAGTTCTTGATGTCCGTATCGAAATCATTTGAAAATATCTGAGTTTTAAAACTTTCCAATTTTTTCAATGACTTTGATTAATGCTGTAGTAAGTATTTAAAGAACAAATTTTGGGATTCGTCGCTTTTCTATGAGATTCCCTATCTTTTGATACATCATTAATTAAAATCTATTGCTGCCGAGAACTGGAAAAGAGACCAACTTTTTATGGATTGTTGAACATAAATTAAACAGGAATTGCGAATAAGAAATGAGTAAACAGAATTTTTTTCTCTTTAATTGATACCTCATGTCACAGGATTGAAATTTAAATTCAATAAAAAGGGAAACGCTTTAAGCTTTCAATGATTTACAAAATGATCATATATATTACTATAATAAGATCTATCTGGATTAACGGTATCGAACTTTGGGGCTCAACTAAACCATCGAATTCCTCGCGTATCCAATCCTTACAATCCGAAATCCTTCGTATATTCTTCAATGCACCTTACTTTTTCAGAAATAAAATCATCCATAACGACCTTAATGTACTATATGTTTCCGATTTAGCTCATTCCAGATACCTATCCTTCCATAATAAACTTCCGAACCCTCTTGTCTCTAACCTTGCTCCCTCTTCTATTCCTGATAATCCTACCATATAGTGCTACCAATGGGTAGTTTCTATTCACGTCGTACGTGTCATGTCACTTGTTTCATATTTACTTCTTGTATTTGTCATGTAATACAGTTATAAATTTCAATAAATATATTTTAAAAAATCAATAAGAAATACGTTGTCTTCCTATATACTTCATTCTTTCTGCGCAACCGGTTTCGGTCTTTGATCAGACATTGATCAGGCTAGATAAAATAAGTCTGCCACACTGAAGGGCATTGTACAAGGGCTATAGTATTCATTCACACAATATTTACATAAGAAAGGAAAATAAATATAAATAACTAAAGTATAAAAGAAAATATATATATAAAAAGATAAAGTAATATACAAGATAAGTAAAATAACAGATTAAAGCCGAATGATAATAAAACAAATAAAACACATTCACAACTATGCACAATATTTACATTGGCCCAGGGGACTCTAAATCAAGCTTTGTTCCCAAATGTGGAAGCCAAAGCAGGACTCCAGAAGATCCCAGTGCTTCTCTCCCAGCCGCGTTACAAGTATTGTAAGCCAGTGGAGACTGATGGAGGGCACTAGAGCAACAGACGCTCGGGACTTCTAATGAAAGTAAAAAGTGAGAATAAATAAATTATATTTATTTTTATTTATTTAGTGCCGACGTTTCGGTTTAAGTTTCAGGCTTTCATCAGAGCAAGGCCAAGATAAATATTGAGAAACTAGGAGGCAGTAATAGTAATAATTAAAGGCAAAACTTATAGTCTAATAACATGTAGGTAGTTAAACTTAACATTAATAAATATATGGATTGGCAAATATATGATGTATAAATTAAGGAAGTATAAAATAACGGTAATAAAGCTGGGACTTAAAAATAACGGTAGCAAAGTTAGGAACTTGGGACATGTAAAATAACGGTGATAAAGTAATGAAGTAAACAATAATAAAATAATGGTAACAATTAAATGAAATTAACAAAACAATGAAAATTGAAATAACAAAGAAATGAAATAGAATATTAAGAGATACAATGCAATACCGATAGATTGTGGAGCCGATGGGAATAGACCTAATACGAATACTCGAAAACGTATTGAGAGATAAATTGCCCATCAAGAGCCGAAATTTAAATGGAATAGTCTCGTTTATTTTCCATTTTGTACTTTTGTAATAAAACTCCTGCCTAATAAGAATTGACAATGATCCGCATTGAATAATTCAACTGCCTCCATTGGTCGCCTTTCAATAAAGAGGAGTCGGCTCCTGGCTATCCTCTCCGGGGTCTTTATCTTTTTTTCTTATCGAGGGGGGACCGATACGGGTGGGGGGGGGGAAGATGTATCTAAACCGAATTTCAGCCCTAAATAGCATTACAAGCAATGTTAAAAGTGGATATTTTTTAATTGAAATACTGCAACTCTAAAAGGTACTGTATAAAAATGATGAATAACAGACTATCAAGTGCGAACATATTTTTAAAAGAAAGGAAGGATGCAAATTAAAATTTAAATTCAAATGCAATGGACTATACAATCACATTTACATTAGTAATATAGCCAAGATTGAAAAAAAAACTTTAAAAAAGGATTATTATCTTTATTAAAATGTATATAAATTGTTACTTTCTACTACCCATTATAGGAAATAATGGCAATTATTGCGTTCTTCATAAATTTCACAAATTATTTGTGTGTGTGTGAACAGCCTACTGCATTCGCACTATATGTACAGAAAATATATAATAAACAGAAGCTTAATAACAAGTAAATAATAACGGTACTTGTGAGCGACGCGGCCTCTATGGACTGCTATATGCAGTTATCTTGATATTTAAGGTGTTATTGTTGTTATTTATATTTCTTATTATTAAATGTTTATAACCTGAACACTGATAATTGTTATATGGTACTGATAGTCCCAATCTTGATATGAAATTAGACTCTCGTATAATAAGATATATAAATATATTTGGTGTTGCCTCTTTTTTGCCTGTTTCTTATTAATATATATGTATTAATAAGAAATATAAATATAATAATAATATAGTAATTTAATAATAAGAAATATAAATAACAACAACACTTTAAATAACAAGATAACTGTAAATAGCAGTCCATAGAGGCCGCGTCGCTCACAAGTACCATAATATCCAAAAGCACATACACAAAATAAAAATAAAATAACTTAAAGACAAGTAAATTAATAAAAAAAAAAACACAGACAATCCTATATGTACTAAAACAACTTTTCTCCTAAAACACTAAATCTTAAAAATTGAAATATAAATTAGGATTTTTTTAAAATTTATTTTTATTATTTTTTAATCATTTATAAATATAATAATGTGTCACCTGGACAATAATTATAGTGAGATATGAACACATTCACACCATATATACAGGAAACATAAAATTAACATAAGTGAAATAATAACTCAATAATAATAACCGTATACAATAAAAAATAAAAAAACCTAAAGATAAGTAAATTAAAAACTCAGTCATACCTATGGGAAATATAAATGAATTAATTAATATGAATGAATGAACTATGAATTATTTAAAATTACAAACGAAAAGATTGAGAGAGGGTATAAGGTAATAGAATAGAAAGATATTATCAAGAACTTAAATACGTATTTTGACGTAATTAAATGAATTTAAAATTTCAAAATATTTATAATCAAATTGTGTATTTGTATAAAATCTGTATATATGTATAAAAAAATCAGAAGAATAGAAACATGTAATTCATTGTCAATGAAATCATTAAATTATATAATAATGTTTGTTAAACTACGCTTAAGATGAGATTCAACCTCAAAACGACGATGTAAACGAAACTGATAAAAATGAATAGAAAAATAAGATACAAATTTACTATAAATCATTAATTAAATATGAAATAAAAATATAGAAACTTGACAAAAAAATGTCAAAAATAAATATAGTAGATAAAAACTTGTAAATAGTCATCCAAAATAGAAACAGAATTCTACGTGAGATAATATAAGAAAAAAAAAATATACTTTTTAAACAAGGTATGAGTTTAAATGGATGGTTCTATTTCGCCCAGTGCTCGGTTATGTTAAGCACCTTAGACAACGGTTTTACGGGAGTTGTGGTAAGCATCCTCGCCAAACCGCCAAGTTAATTGTAATTAAGTGATGGTAAATGGTCAGTAATTAAACTTCTCCAAGTACGAACTACAACGCTTTTTTTTGGGTCTTTTAAAGATAATTCAATGAAATAAAATATTCATGGTGTTAGTTATCTAGAGTATAACTCATAAAATTAAATATTATAATATTAATAATAATTGTTGTCTTATGTCTTGCATAAGTCGTTTTTCGCCCCGCTATAAATTTTAATTATCCAGAGAATGTTTTTTTTTACTTTATTTTGTTTTATTGAGTATTAATACAGTCTGCCACACTGAAAGGCATTGGTATTAGGGCTATGGTATTCATTCACACAATATGTACATAAGAAATGAAAATCAATAAAAATAACGAAGTAAGAAGAGAGAGAAAAAAAAAAAAAAAAAAAAAAAAAAATATATATATATATATATATATATATGTATATTGTAACCAAGATTAAGAAAGCACTGGAAACAAAACAAACTCTACTCTCTTTTGTTTCCTGAGCCAGATGACTAATTGATATTTTAGCATGTGCATGTACTCTTACATCTTATTGTATCGTGACTATCTTTTCTAGATGTTTGGATGTGGCATGCCATACTATTGTATATAGAATAAGTATCTTTTTTTGTTATTGTTATTATCTTTATTACCTTAAATATCTTCCTTTTTATCTTTAATTGCATATAGTAATTATGTTTGAATTCCCTCTTTTTCCTTGTATTTTATTTATTTTTATTGTAAATAGTATTCATTCTGTAAATATTTCTTTTTGTAAATAGATCTGTTAACCTTTCTTGCTGCTTTATAAAAATACCCAACCTAACCCCTTCTCACCTGAGCTAGCATGGTAGAATAAATGATTTATCATGGCCAGATCATGGGTAAGTAACTTATATTCTCTATAATTATCTCTTTAGAGATGAAAGGTTGGTAAGCCAGGCGTCCAACAAATATAAATTCTTGTGGAAAATTATATTTATTAAAAATTATTTTATTATATTTTTATTTTAGCCTTTTTTTGGTCATAATATATATATATATATATATATATATATATATATATATATATATATATATATATATATATATATATAAATAAAAAGATAAAGTAATATACAAGATAAGTAAAATAACAGATTATAACATAACATGGAATCAAGCATTGTCCCCCAATTGTGGAAGCCAAAGCAGGACTCAAAGTGATCACACTGCTCCCAGCCGCGTCACTGGTGTTGTAAGCCAGTGGAAACTGATGGAGACCAGACAAGTTAGGCAGAATTTTAAATCTTTTTTTTGTTTATGTAACTATTTTTTGTAGGAAAAATATCGGTCTTTGATAGTAAATTTTAATATTAGTATAAGAGTTTAGCGGATTAAATGAAATCGTAATAATCGATTTTTTTTCTAAGATTCTTTTTTAGTTTAGTTTACTTATTATTTTCATGAGTGGGATTGATAATCTCAAAAAGGTTTTAGTCGATAAGCGATAACGAAATAAACCTTGGACTTACCTGTAAATCGGTGAAGATGCTCCCTCCTTGTACCAAATGAGAAGATGGACTTTGTCTCCTTTGGCGGGAGGGGTGATGTCGCACGGTAGTTTGGCAACACCCCCCGCAACAGCTTCCGTTTTAGTAGTTTTGACTGAAACAAAGAAAAAATAAAATTAATTAAAAGAATATATAAATACATATATATCTAAACATACAAACAGTAGCCTCCTTCCCCAGATATTCGGTCTATGGATGCTCTGTATCGGGAAATGAAATATTGGTCGTCGAGCGCCTTTTGACTCTGAATAGCCGTGATCCATAGATCTAGACCGATCTGTTACTGTCCTTGATCCTGACTGAGTTGGTGGGAAGAACACTGCCAGATTGGCCCCTAAGGATTCGGCTATGGAGGAATGGGTGGCCTGCAGCTGCACCGTGGGGACCATGGTTCTTATCAACGTAAAGTTGGGTGACCCCTTTTGACTATTTTTTTCCAATTAATGCAATATATGCCTGTTAGAAGACCAAAACACTCGGACAAAGAACTACAAAAAAAAATTGCACATATATATATTTGTATATATACACATTATCCTTTAGAGGACATGCCGAGTATATTGGGGAATGGATCACTAAGTGGCCGGTTCTGAACATCGTGAGTTCGAATCCCGCCAGTCAGGAGTCGGCAAAAAAATTATAGCAAGACCCAATTGCCGAACTAGCACTTCCCTACCAATACAAGTATAAAAAATTTGGCCATAAAACCAAACCATATTAATAAGAAATAATATTTCATTAGTGAGTTTGGAGGAGAAAATAAGAAAACAATAATTCAAAAATAAAATTAAGATAATGTTTTTACTTGTAGTAAATTTATTTTATTATTATATATTTTTTATTACTTATATATATATATATATATATATATATATATATATATATATATATAATAAGACATAACATATTTTTTCGACTGAAGAAACAAAATAAAATTGTTCATATTAAAGATTTAGGAAAATAACTTGCTGGTTAATAATTTAAGTTGGATGGGAATAATAACATTAATAATTTAATAAAATGGCCTGGAATCCGTCACACGTAAACATTATCTTAAAGAGTTGTATATTTTATTATCAAATTAACCTTTCAATTAAATTGACATTTTCTTTTTGTCTTTTTAATCGGACCATTATTACGACATGAGCTGATTACATGAAATGAAATGAAAAATACATTGAGCTATTAATTCCCTGATAAAACAGTTTGAAACCGCCGTTTGTTGAATAAATGCAGAATCCCCTGAACAATTATTCATTATTCATTTTGTGCCGTCAAAAGGATAAATGGACCTGCCAATCACCGAGATATAACTAGAAATATTTATAATTACACTGCACCTGCTTTGAGCTCCCGTACAATTTATCTTATCTCCGTTCAGGTCATTTGTTTATCTCACTTGTTTTTATAATATGTATAAATTAATTATACTAATGTAATCTACAATTGCGTTTTTGTTTTGTTTCAAGCTCCTTTCAAAATATTCTGTAATTCAAAGGCACAAAGGGAGCTCCGTTTATCCGGAATATTGTGGCCATGGTTATTCATGATAAAAAGCCATTCCGGTATCGAATGATCAGAAAATATTTTAAAATAATGTTTTATATATATATATATATATATATATATTATATATATATATATATATATATATATATATATATATATAAATATATAAAACATCAGATTTTTTTCACATATTATTTATATATATATATATATATATATATATATATATATATAATATATATATATATATATATATATATATATATATATATATAAATAATATGTGAAAAAAAATCTTTAATAATATAGATTTCCAGTGAAATGGTTGAGGAAGAAGCGCATGGATCTCCTGAAGCCTTGCTTTCCCTCCACATGTGGCAGAATAAGTATGGTTCGGAGTTCCCATGGCCGACTGTAAATAGTGTAAATAGGTATTCCTGCGTCTAAGATGTTTATTTTCATTACTTTTTTTTTTAAAAGATAATTTTAATTCTATTATATTCATTTATTTTCATTCTATTATTACTATTATTTATTTTTTCTTCCTTCACTATGATATTTTATTTTGTTCTTTTATAGCTTTATATTATTTGAAATTAGCTTATCTTTTTTTTTTTTTAATTTGTAAATATGGTGTGAATGTGCTCTCAGAACTTTATTATAAATGTCCTTTATTGAGACATATTGTAATATTTATCAATAAACAAATAATCAATTAAAAAAAAATAATATAGATTACCAGAGTTACCATAATTTTTCATTTTATGTATAAGGGGAAGTCACTGCAGAACAACTTTTGTTGAATACAATAGAATAAAAAAAACTTCTTAGTTAAAACAACAAGATATGATAATGAACAGATTTCCTGGTTAAAGTACGTATGAAAAACTAAACAGAATATAAAGATCGATTTTACGAAAACATTTAATCTCCATTTTTATAAGCATTGTTTTAACTTATTATTATCCGGTTTTTCAATATAGGCTTTCCATCCCATCCCTAAATATATAATATTATTAAGGAATAAAACAATAATATATATTTTTATATATATAAATATTAAGGAATAAAATGTAATAAAGCTGTAAAGATATATATATATATATATATATATATATATATATATATATATAATATATATATATATATATATATATATATATATATATATAATTTATTTTATTTACTGTATATAGAGTGTGAATGTGATCTGTGAACACTATTATTAATGTCCCTGAGACAGATTGTAATATATTTCAATAAATAAGCTATTAAAAATAAAAAATATATATATATATATATATATATTATGTTAAGAGTTAGCCTAAAGCCTTAGCAAAAAAAAAAACAAGATTAGTTTTAGTAACTTTAATTTATCAAAGCGTAATTCGGATAAACAAAATTATCATGGTAAAATCTCGTTAAAAACTTTACAAAGCGAATTTAATTATTTATCCGACTGTTAGAAAATTATACTATTATTTATATTATCATTATTATTTGTATGTTAATATAATTTCTAATTGAATATACTATTAAGTATAGGCATGATTAGTAACATAAAAAACCTAAAATAACAACGATCGGGCAAGATTCCCATGACTACATTTTATATTTAAGCCAATAAATATTTTATTTTATTTATTTGCGTTAGTTACTTTTTTTTTTAACACCACAATGGTTTTTCTATAGATTAATTTAACGCTCTTTTCCAATTTAATTTAGTTATTAACCTTATTGTCGATCTGCTTTCTTAAATATATCTTCATAGCTATGTATATACTTATATTTTAGCTATTATTTATTGCAATAGGTCTTTTGGCCGGATTTAATGTTAATTTGTATGAACAATATTGTTAATCTCCTATAACTCCCGAACAGTGCATCCAAGCGAAAAACTTTAAGAAACTTAAGAGCATTGTACGAGTACCTAAACTTAATAATTTGGTTTAGCAGTATGGTCAACGAACGTTGATTTTATTCAAGATTTGTTAAAAACTGAGAAAATTACTATAAATGACTCTGCATCTTGGAAATGAGTCCTTTAAACGTAAAAACGCATATATTAAAAGTAATAGAGAATCATATTTCAGGTTCACTGAATAACAAAATTTTTAATGTAGACAACTTATTATGAAGGTGTAATTTTTCATTATTTCAACTGTAAGGATGTCTATTCTTCTGAGTTATTCTTGTTTAGAGACTGCTATTTGCAGTACAGTCCTCATTTCCACCTTTGAGCATCGAAGGATTTTGATTAACGAGTTGTCAAAATTAACCATTCATTAAGAAATGACCAATTCGAGAGATGTAATTGACTTGACGTACATTAAAAATGTTGATTGGATGATAATTTTGTGATGAGATAATAATATACGTCTTTTTGTTTTGAATTTGTTTTTTTTTTAAATTTTGGCATATACCTACATGTTAAAATAAAATCATTCACATTTAATTTTTACATTTTAAAAACCCAATGCATCATACTGAGGATAGACTTTGAGGTGAATTAACTAAACAAACGCTGCAAATTATTTCACAATGGTTTATTATTTCCAAATGGACATAATGGACATGGAATAAGAAAGCGGAGACTAGGTGTGAGGTAATTTATATGATAAATGCTTTTAAAAATGGCTAACCCAAAACATTAAACGAAGAAATAGTTGAGAAGTGGTATAAAGGTCTCTGCCTGTACTTTCTATACCATTTTACATTGATAATTGCGGATAGGCATCCAGAAAGATAAAATTAGGAAAAAAAAAATGAATACACAAAATATTGATAAAGGAATAATCCTATTAAAGAATTAGAAAACTTTGTATTACACGGCTTTCATTAAATAATATTTAACGATTCCCTTCCCGAATAAGGATAAAACATCCTTTGATGTTTCATTGAATTTATGCAATCACAGTAAATGTTCCGAGAATCGGTTAGGTCGTAATACTTTTTCTGGTAACTCCTTTCATTAGGGGCCAAATAAGTGGTAAAAAGAAAAAAAATCTTTCTTTCTTTATTCAATTTATTCTGGTTTATTTTTTTAAACGTAAGCGTGCAAAAATGTTTGAACGATAACCGCTCCATTATTTAAGGATAACAAAAATAACAAATAAATTAAACAAAGTTAGAATTCACTAATTGAAGTGTTTTAAACAAATTTTCACGATGAAGAAAAAAAATCCATCTACCAATTAATCATTAACTGAAATCATTTGATATTATTTCTGCAATATATTTTCCGTTTTCAAGTCCAATATAGGATAAGTTCTTAACCTCAGCGGTAATTTCATCGATGGATTTTATTCAAGCAGCAATGAAAAGCGATTTATGATGAGCTTTGGAACGACTTGGTGGATTATTGTGGAAGGTTATCACTCCTGAAAGGTCACAAAATCCTTGAAGAATAAAAAAATATATGTAATGAAATATCGAATTGCAGGATTGTTGAATTTTAAAACAGGGATAGATATAGTAAATTAAATATTAATATGTAGAGGTGACATCCAGTGTGTCTATCGACTCCGAGCCGATGGAACGCCTAAACCATGAGTGATTGGATCCTATAAATAAAGGCGTTGATTTCTATTAATAATTTCCAACGACGAGTTTAGAAATGGTCTGATCATAATGTACGTTTTTTCTTCAAAGAATTGATTATTAATATATTTTTCAGTTTTCAGTTTTGGTTTTTTTACGAAATTATCTTTTCAATATTGAGGAGGGGAAGTGTTAAATATTAAACTTGTTTTTTATAACTTGACTCCATGTATCAGGAATAAATTTCAGATCTTCTGTTGTGTTTAGTATCAATTTTAAATATTGTTTTTATAAATAAATTTTCTTTTTATCGTATTTTTTCCTTGCCTGATATTTTTACATTATCAAACATGACTTCATGATCATGTGTATTTTTTATTATATGAGTGTTAAAAGATGCATGGTTTCTAATCTTTATGTTGTTTCATTCTTTTTTTGTTTGAAACGTGCAGTGACCCTTCTATGTAAATTTGTTTTCATGGATATTGCAATATTTTTTATGTAATTATTTGCATCTATTGTTTAAATTTTATCTTTTATTCTACTAAAATGGTTTGAAACTACATTGCTGTATTTCAAGGCTATTCCATAATTATCACTTCTTAATCTATTGAAGCATTATGTAATTTAGGGCATGTTATATAAGTATTTTATAATTTTAACAAATATATAAAAAATAATTTATATCAAGTAAGACAAAAAAATGTTTTTAAATTTTATTTGTTCTAAAATTAAACATGAATAGTTCATGATAGAGCCTATAAATATTATAAATATTAATTGTATAATTTTTAGGTGCAGGAGAGAGGGAAAGAGATTTCGAGAAAAGTTCATTAATAAATAAAAATCAAGAACTAAGTGTGATTATATAGATGTCTGTGTGTATATAGATGTTTTTGTTTTTTCTTTTTCTGCTTGTAATCTATTGCGTCATAGGTAGATCACAATACTTGTCTAGTTTCTCACAATATCTTCATATGTTTTCACTTAAACGTCTTAAGGAACATATATAAATCATTTATTTACTCTAGTTTTTTTTATTCTTATTTTTTTTATATTGTATCACTAAAATTGGTTACCTATAAAACTTATTTAGCATTTTTTTCCAATTTTATTTAGTTATTAATATATTGTGGTTTTTGTATCAATATTATAATATTGTAACCCTTGTACCCATCTGCTTTCCTTAATATACCCTCCAAAACTATATATATACTCATTTTATTACTTAGATTGTAGTTACTCTTTATTATAATAGGTCATCTGGCCAGATTTATTGTCAATTGGTTTGAACAATATTGTTATTCTTAAGGGTCCTAGTAGAATAAAGATGATTTTCTGTTTCTAATATTTATTAAATTGACCTATAGATAAATGAATAGTGAAAAGATATATTAATAATAAATATTAATTAAATATCCTCATTTATTAAAAACCTAATTGGTCAGTTTTTAATTTTAATATATACACGTATGTATAATTTTATTTTTCATTTATTA